GGGCCGGGGATTGAGCCCAGGACCTCGTGCATGCTAAGCACACGCTCTACCACTGACCTATACCCTCCCCCTTTTAGAATTCTTTTTTGTTTTTATTTTGTTATTTTTTCTTTGGAGGTACTGGGGCAGACTCGCTGCTCTAGAGACCACAAGCAGTGGGAAGGGGAAGGTGGTCTGCCCTTTGCTCGGCCTCACCGGAAGCAGAACCGGTTCCATTTCTGACACGGTGATAACATTGTTCACGGGCTGGGCCTGGCCGCAGCATAAGGGAAGTCTGTTTATGCTTTAACAAACGGGAGAGCTGGTTTGGGGCCAGCCCTGCCCCAGGGACGTACATTCAGAAAAAAGCCTGGAGTCACCTTTCTTCGAAAACAGGCCAGAGGGGTGTGGGCCGAGCTCGTGTTCCCACGAGGAGAAACAGGCTGCCCACTCAGGCGACCTCCAGTGAGGGGTCCACTCAGCGTTTTGTCCCCTTGTGGGAAACTTCAGTGTGTGTGCTATGACTTGACACAACAATCTGAGTACTGGAGATGCTGTGGGCGAGGAAGAATGAGCAGGGCTGCTTCTGACCACAGGACAGCGGGAGAGAGCCCCACGCAGGGTGGGCGCGCGGCCACTTCGTTCGCCCAGGGCACGTGTTAAGGGTGCACATGATCGGCATTTTAAAACATTTTAAAGGTGTGTGTGAATGCAGTGCCACCTTTGACCTGGAATGTTGTGAAGATTAAAATGGCCAGAAATGCTTCTCATGGTCAACCCACTGAAAACACGGATTTTTTTTTTGGTTGCACCAAGGGAATCTTGTGAAAAGTTATTCAAACATTTTATTCAATGTACTATTTAGCTTGTATATATATGTGTGTGTGTATATATATATATATATATATATTTTTCTTCGACTTTCAATTGTGTCCTTTAGGCATTTATTCAAGGACGTTTTTGTGTGGCTGAATATTCAAATTTTGAGTTGGTTCATGACATCTTTGGTGGCAAACAAGGCACTAGGGGGTTGAGAATGGGGTTAGAGCGGAGGCTGGCGAGCTGTGTGCTACCCGGACGGTGTTCAGCTAGCCGGGAGGAAGCAGAGTTTCGGAGGGGACTTCTGAAGTGAGACGGTCCGTTAGGGAGATGCTGGGCAGGAAAGAGGGCTTGGCCCTGACTCTGGCCAGGGCGAAGGCGTTTGCTTTTCTGTGGAAGGTGCTGAGCTCCTGGAGTTTTTAGGCGAAAAGGAAGAAGACGGAGCAGCAGATGGGGGCCTTAGCACTTTGTGTGCTGAGGGAAGGAGCAGCGCAGGGAGGAGAGAAAGTTGGCAGAGGAGGCCCATCATGTGACAGGAGATTTGGGGGGGACCATGGGGCAGGAGGCCCCCCCACGCCGCCTTTCAGCTCCCTCCCGCCCTCCCTGGCCCCCCCCCAGGCCCCTTCCCAGTGGCCTGCCCCTGCACTCGGGTGCCCTCCGAGCCCCCTTCACTCCCGGGCCTGCCCAGCCTGCTCCCCTCCCAGGCAGAGCTCTGCTCAGGGGTGTCCCTGGTGTGGGTCCCCTTGTCTGCCAGGCACTCAGCAGTGTCTTACCACCTCCAGTACCACTTCTCGCCTCTTGTTTTAGGTGTTCGTTTATCTTCTTTGTCTCCCTGCAGGGCCCAGGTGACAGGTCCGTCAGGTCTAGTTTGCAGAAGGGCCTTAATAAACAGGTGGGCGGATGCTGAAAGAGAAGTCCTGAGGCAGAACTGGGGATGCGGGGAGCACCGATCTCAGCTTGCTCTCTTGTCTCTTGGGAAATGGGTCTAGTTCCCACTGGCTGGGAGAGTCCACTGAACCTGCCAGGCGAGGGCACACTGGGTGCAGGACCAACCACGGGGGCCCTCCAGTGGCCGCTGGCATCCTTCTTACTACCGCATCACTGCCAGGGCAGGGGCTCCTGGGCCTCCTGGCCGGAGTTTACAGGGAGTCAGTGCACCATTTGGAGCTCTTGCAGGAAGGCAGAAGCCGTCATAGCACTCTATCAGCTGACACGGGTTGTGCCTGTCCGCCAGCTGTGCCCTCTCCTTGCGGAGCTGGCTTCCGAGAGGCAGCTGTGGGTAACTGGTTCAGTGGTCCAAGGCATTTGTCACTGCAGCCCATGGCTTCCAGGGTAATTAGATAAGACCTCCTGCAGGGATGAGGGTGTGGCGGAGACGTGGCTCCTGGCGCTGACCCTCCTGCACTTTTCCCTGTCAGGCCACTGCACATGTGCTGGCAGCCGGGTGCCCCTCTGCTGGGTGGTAAGGAGCAGGCACCTTCCGCCTGCCAGGCTGCAGCTCCCATAGGCTGTTGTTATTCTAATATCCAAAGCAGCCTCCCTTAAGGAGGCAGATCATGCTAAACAAAGAATTAAAAATGTGCACATTATATACAAGTGAAAATGCTTCTGTGGGCTGATCATTTGCATGTGGTTTGAAAGTGTTTTAATGAATCACAAAAGCATGTACTTTGTTTAAAGAAAGGATGCTTAACCTTTTTTTTTCCTCCTCAGGTAAAGTACACGAGACTCTTGCTTAAATGAGGCATGCAGTTTTAATCAGTTGGGCCCTTAAAAAGAAAGAAAAACAGCTGCGGCTTGTTAATTGGCAAATATTTTCTCCAATGAGCTCATCATTTATTCACTGCTTTTAATAGAGACTTAAATTCCACCAAGAAAGGTGTTAGCACCGCATTTTAATATCTGTCGGCACATCTTCAGCTAAATGACCCTCTTACAGAGCATGAGGGATGGCTTCCCAAAGACCTCTCTGCCCCGCTCCCTCCCCCTCCTGGGTCAGGCGAGCCCCTGTGTGGTCCAGCCCCATGAGTGCCACGCAGCCGCGCAGGGCGGGCGCTCACGGATGTCCTCACCACGGGCAGGATCAGTTCAACATCTGTAATTGCGATGCTCGGCATAAGCACTAGAAACCAAACCCACAAAGGCGAAGTCTGCCCTTTTTTATATCCCTTTGCGCTCGCTGATGGCAACCCCTTGGGCCAGGCCCATAACGTCTTGACAGATTCGGGGGCGGGAGGACTGGAACGTCCTGCTCACCCTGGAATTTCCTCTCTGTTTTCTGACTCCTGCCTGTGGTGGGAGTAGACGGGACTGCCCTGCCTTGCAAACAAGAGCCTTTTCATCTCTCTTCTGCTTCCCTGTCAAATGCCTGTAAACTGGGGCACTTTTGTGCCTTGGTTGATCCCTGTCTGGGCTGGTGCTAACCCTCTGTGCCTTGGCACGGGTCTGAGAGGGTTAAGGAGTTACTGCCATGATAGTTACTGCTTCCTTTTGCCGAAACTCAGCAAGCTGGGGAGGACGAACAATTATGCTGTTTTCCTTTCTCTTCTGTGAGAAGTCCCTTTGTTCTCAGAGTAAGTCATGAGAGCACTGACGACCTCTCGCAGAAGCTGGAAGAGGCGATACGTTTATTTAAGTGATGTTCCAATATCAAAACACCCCGGTCTTTGCTACACACGGTCCTCAAGCTTCTAAGCACAAAAACATTTTCTGATGTTTGTGCGCTGACGAGCTTCCTGGGTGGGAAGCCCTGGGAAGGGCCCCCACCGGGAGGGAGGGCTGTGGCGCGCAGGTGAGATGGTGAGGAGGATGGAGGTGGTCAGGGCGACGTGCTGGGCGCTGGCTGTGCGTCTAGAGTTTCCCTTTTAAACCCCAGGAAGCGAGCACTTTCCCAAAGCTCTCTAGGCTTTTGGCCTCTTTCGCTTCACACGAGGCAGGATTTGGGGTCCGTGTTGGCTTATTTCAGATGTCTGCTTGTATTCCAAATTTCATAAGGATGGAAGCCTAGAGTGAACTGCTCCACTGCCTCAACGTGTGTGACCAGCCCAGAGGAGGGAAGGAGGGCGGCCTCAGGAAAGACCTGGCTCTGAGCTCCCATGTCGCCCCCTCCCACCCGGGTGACCTTGGGCACGTCACTCAGCCTTTCCGCCCCATTCTGTGGACCGAAGGAGAATCAGGAAGCAGCATGTGAAGTCCTGGGTGCAGCTTAGTGAACAGGATCTGGTTAGAGTGCCACACTTTAAAATTCAGTAGAAATAGGAGGAGCCTCCTATTGTCGACTGAAATAAAACCACACAGCATGAGAGTTGTGGGTTAAGGTTTATTTGCGGCAAAGTGAGGACTATAGCCCGGGAGACAGCATCCCAGAGAGCTCTGAGGAACTGCTCCAAAGAGGCAGGGGCGATCTCAGTATTAGATACGATCTCAGCGAAGTGGGGACGTGCAGTCAAGCACACACCTGGGCAGAGGCTGCTGCTAGTCATGAGGAGCAGATGTCACTGTTAATGATTTTAGTGCTTTTCTGCATGAGGAGATTCAAGAATTGGGGTCATAAAATTTCCTGAAAGTCTCTCTGTGAAGACCTTTTCTGCCAGTTTTCCCAGAGCACAGAGCGCCTCCTTCCTGACCTCCCCCCAAACTCCTTGCAGGGCGTGTTGGAGGTCAGCGGCTACAGCGGCTCGTGATTTAATCCAAGCAGAGGTAGCCGGCCAGTGCCAAGGCGATCCAGTCCTTGTAGAGGCACGTGGCTAGTGCCATTTTTCAGCTAGCATATGTTCTAGGTGATTCTATGCAAATTCCTTGTGTGGGTAATTTTAGTGGCAGTTGAAGTCTGAGAGTCACAGCAGTGGGGCCGTTTGGTGGGATAACAGAGCCTTTCCCACCACACTGTCCTCCCCTCTTTTCTGAGAAGTAGGGGGGAAGGGAAACTTGCCATGGGTTTAGTTTGTATGGTTTTAGTTTAGTCCAGTAAAGTACGGGCAGGTCACCTTGTAGGTCATTTTGAAGTCTGCACGGTGCCAGTGCAGGGATTCTCAGGGATTCTCCCTGCTACTGGCGTCCAGGGCTGGATAATTAGGGATGTGAGGCTCATCCCATGTCTGTGGATGTTCAGTGGCATCTCTGGCCTCCAGATGCCAGTAGCACCAACCCTTAAGTTGTGACAACCAAAAATGTCACCAGACTTTACCAAATGCCCTCTGGGTGAGTGGGTTGGGGGGCAAAACGCCACCCCCTCCCGCAGCCCCTCAGGGAAACACAGGGCTAGACGTGACCTCCCTCGGAAGGCTGGGGACGGCCGTGAGCCTTGCCCTCTGGTCGTTTATCATGATACTTTTATTTGAGGCTTTTGGTCTAAAACTATGTGTGGAATGATGAAAAGGAAGTACAATGTAGCTAAAGACGTCTTTAGGAGGTTGGCAGGCTCCAGCAGACAAAATTGTGATTGCAAAACAGCTTTAACTTGGCTTAAATTTATTCTTACCAGAACAGAAGGAAGGGTGTCAGCAGAAGGTCACCCTGATAGGGACCCTTCATTTTGCTGCCCCACTGCTTCCCAGCTGGTGCCTTTCCCCGCTGAACCCTCCAAGGAAACCGGGAGGACAGAGGCGTCCGTGCCCGGGAGCGGATGTACCAGAAAGGTTTGCCACCATAAGGAGCAGGAATAAGAATTTTACTCCCCATCTGGCAGAGATGGTGGGGGCCCTGTGCAGGCCAGACTGTAAACAGGGAGGTTGAGTGGTGGTGGGTCCCGGGGACGGTCTGGGGTGCGGTGCGGGTGGGAGGGGAGGGGCGGGGGTGATAACAGTAACCCTGCTCAGATTTCAGCTGAAATTGATGCTGCCGTGTAAAGGGCAGGGGGAGCGCATGTGGGTCTCATTTTCTCTGGGACCCCCCCACTTCCCCTAGTGTCAAGACTTGGCATGTAAGTTACTTAATAAACATTTGTCGAATGAATGAGATGACTAAAACCAGGGCTTATCAACTCAATGCCCATGGGGGCAGGCAGGGCGCTAAGTGTGGGAGGGGCTGGGCACAGGGCAGAGGGGAGGGGTGGGCTGTCTCGGATGAGGCAGCTGCCCCTACAGTTACTGTTACCATCACAACAGGTACTTACCCCCGCCGGGCAGCTGCTGTTTTAGTGCCTCACTTATGTTATTCCACTTCAACTTAATCATAATTATTTTTTAAAAGTCAGGAAGTCATGGAAGGTGAGATAAAGCCATGAAATAAACGTCTTGACCAGCGGGCTTTTTTCACTTGGCCCTTCCTTCTCACCCTGCACATTTTTAAACTTCTGCTCCATTCTTTTCTGCAAGGAGTTAAAGGTCCCACCCCTGCCAAGGGGCCACCCCTCTTCCCGTTCCTTTACTGCTTCTCAGGCCCCTTCACCGGCTCTCCTCCCCTTGGCAGGCTCTCTCCCATAATCGGGGTTTCTCGCAAAGCCCCACCTCTCTGGGTAGGAGCCCTTCTGGCCCGACAAGCTCGGAGGGGGCGAGGCCGGCGTCGATGTCCTGTTCCTGGGAAGAACTGGACTTGTGCATTTCCAACGTTAAAGCAGTCTGTGTGTTTTGTTTTGTTTTGTTTTGTTTTGTTTTGTTTGTGGTTCAAATAGTTTAGTGACTCCTTGGCAAACAAAAGCAGCACATTATGACAATTGTGGAGCTTCTCATTGCCTGTAAGAGGCATTTATTAAGTCTTAGGAAATCTGAAAGGATTATTTTCAAATATCAAAATAACATCCACACAGCAGTACTTTTAAAACTTGACAACATCCCAAGCCTTTAGGACAATCTCAGTGTTCTCCTCTTAATATGTGAAAACAAGGTCTTTTTCAGTAGAAGGAGGAATGAAGTATGTACTGTATGAGATACTCACTGGAACAGCCAAGTGCCTTCTTGGACGTGATCGTGAGCATCCACTCAAGGCCACAGGAGGAACAGAGTTGGAATGAGACTTCTTTCATTATACTTTGGATGACTGGTTTCTGTCTTATTTCTTCAGGGGAGCCCATAAGTAGCGAGCACTTTCATAGAGCTGTCAATGTGAATGATGAAGATTTGCTGGTTCAAATACTTCAAGGAGGGTAAGAGGACTCTGCCTTTTAAAACCCTTTAAATTTTTTTTTTTATTTTTAATGCCCAAGCAAGTGCATAGAAATGCTTTCATGCAGCTTTATTTGGTTTTCCTGAAATTTCCCATGGCTTTCAAACTGGCTCCAAGATTGGCTCAAAATTGATCTCAGGTGACTGGTGTGAGTTCCGCATAGTTCATAAAGATGAGCCTAAGAAAGTCCCATGCCAATGTTATGTTTTGTACTTAATGAAAATTGAAACCGGAAATGACGAGTTTGGGTGTCATTTTCATCCCAGAAATAACTTATGACTCTTGCTCATATGCATTTTGGCAGATTTCGCCCCCAAATGCCCACGTCTAATTCCTGATGAAATGAAGGCATCACTAGATCAGCTGTTTCTAATTCAAAGGCTGATAATACACAAGAGGAAAAAATGGCGAATGCAGTTGCTGCAGATGGGAGATTTGAAGCTGCTCCCAAATGAGAAAGGGGCAATGGAATCTAGATTTTTTGAATCAGTAGTTCTGAGCGCCTTAGAAGGCAAGTCACCTGTGAATTGAGGCTCTGTAAGTTGGGGAAGAGAAGGTTCCTGCAAAAAGCCACAGCCTCTAAGCGGCTATTTAAGAGTGTGGCTTTCTTCTTCGAGCAGCAGAGCTTCCTGCCCAGGAGGTGGGCTGGGAGTCAGGGGAGAGATGAGGGTCTCCATCACTCTGCGCTTGTGTCCGGTGGAGCTGAGAGTCTGCTGCCGAGGCATCGTGTCCCCTGCTGGTTTAAAGGAGCAGTGCTCTTCATGGTGTGTTTTATCAGATCTCGTAATGGTTTCCAGGGGAAGGAAATGCCTATTTTAAGTGAAATTACAGTAATTTTCTTTTCTTGTGAATTTGAATCCTTTAAAATATGAGCAGGGCAGCAGCCTAAGACAACAAAAACTTAATGGTCCAGAAGGAATTGGGGTTCTTGGGAAAATGAACCGTTTTAGCCACCTGTTCCCCACAAGAGATGTCAGCTGCGAATCCACAGGGAGCCGCGCCGGCACGTTAATCCCTTTTCTCTGTGTTTCCCCCAAGCAACGTGAAGGTGGATGTTCCCAATAAGCTTGGCTTTACCGCTCTGATGGTCGCTGCACAGAGAGGGCACACCAGGTAGGGCTCTTCCTTCCTCATCCCCCAGTGACGGGCTGAGCCCCTCGTTCTCCCAAAGGCTCCGGTCTGGACAGGGGTGGGAGGGGAGGGGCTGTGTGTGGGGAACCTGGCTTCTGTTCTCTTTCCCAAACTGTGCCAGGTAGGGGCTGAACAGAAACTCAGCTGCTTTTACCATAAAGTCATACAACATGCAGAGGAGGCTAGAAAAACATAATCACATGGTAAGGAAGAGAGGTAGCCATTTTAATTATATCTTGCAAGGTCGTATATGCGTCCTGGGAAAACTGGTCATTGGAATTTGAATTTCTTTAGAAAAAGAAAGGGGAGGGATATTAATTCTGAAAAGCAAACGTCCCTGATGGCTTGCTCAGACAGTTTTCGCTGATAACTACTCTGTAATCTCTCCTCCACACAGAGATAAGCATAAATACTAATAGCTTATTTTTCCATAATAGTGATATTTTAACTATTAAAATGCCATTTGAGAGACATTGGAGGGTATCTCCATTAAATGCTACTGTTTGAAAACGTATCTAAAATGGTCACGGAAGTGACAATGAGTTAGTCCGATCGTCCAGCTTGCTTCATGGGGTGGAGTTGTGTGTTTCAATGAACGGCTCACATAAAGAGTGAGAACCCATTTATTTGGTGTGGAGAGGCAGTTTCCTGGTTTAATAATGCCCTGTCTTTAAAGCCAGCCACCTCTGAAGATGGAGAGGTGGTACCAAGACGTGTCTGAAATAGAGCGTTGTTCATTTTTACTGGGTTATTGTGGGCCCCTGCTCATCAAAGCTGCACATCCAGCAACGCTGAAATTTGTCTCGTTTAGGCTTGTGAAAATCCTCGTTTCTAACGGCACAGACGTGAATCTGAGGAATGGAAGTGGCAAGGACAGGTGGGTGTGGCGCGTTCCCTAAAACGTTCCCAGACTTGTGATACTAAGCTTGTGCCCAGACGATCTTTGATTTGATTCCAGTATTTTCTTGTTTCTTTTGACAGTACTGAGAGGTGAGTAGGTCTCACAGGAGCAATGCGATGACAAACGCTGGCTTATTCATTTGCCCACTAGCCCCCTAATATTGCTGATGCCCGACCACCCACGCGGGCCTCCCCACTTGTCCCTCACCGGGTCTCCTGTGCTTTACTCGGGGGCGTGGGCTACGGCCACGAACCAGTCAAGGCTCACACACTGCGTCCGGTTTTTCTGTCGCTCTTGTCTCTCTCATTCTGGTCTGGCCCTCTATCCATTTTTTTAATTAAAATTTTGTTATAGCAATGACTTTTTGAGGAGTCCAGACCACTTATCTTGCAGAATGCCTCGTGCTCTCGATTTGCTTGTCTCCTAGGTGCGAGGGAGGCATTTAACTTGTTCATTCGTCTCTTTATACCCAGTAAAGTTAAAATTAGGTTTACAGGCTTGACTGGATTCAGGTTGACATTTTTAGCAAGAACACCTGAGAGCTGGTGTTGCGGCTTCAGTTTGCGTCCGCAGGCCTGTCATGCAGGTTGCCCCGTAGCTGGCGATTCCCGGTTTGATCACTGGGGTGGAAGAGCTAGATCTCTCCTTGGTAAATATATAGCTTCCCACTGCAATTAGGAAATAATCGATGGGTTAGTGATTCAGCACAGTGTGGACATCCACTAGCCTTTCATCCAATAACTGTAGCATCCACCATGATCCTGGCCTGAACCAGGTATTTAACTGGGACTCGCCAGAGAGTGGTTTTCTCCTTCCATGATTCCTTCTACATTTATTAGCTGGCAGTCTTCCATCAAAAGGAACTTTCCCTTATCAACTGGGGACGGACTGCCTTTCATCCTACAAAGGCAACATAAATGTTTATCTTCTTTAAATACCAATATTTAGAGTAAGGAATTGGTTTAATTATCTGTAATAATGTCCAATGAGTGTTTCTTCTCTTTTTCTTTTTTGAATATCATCAGAGACTGGTATATGTTTTTAAAATCCAACATTTTACTCAATGACAGTGATTATTCATTTTTTTTCCTGAGAGAGAGATTCACATATCACAAAATTCATTCCTTTAAAATGTCCAGTTCAGGGGTAGGGGCCAGCTCAAGTGGTCGTGTGTGTGCTTAGCTTGCATGGGGTCCTGGGTTCAACCCCCAGTACCTTCAATAACATTTTTTTAAAAATTAAAAAAAATGACATGTACAGTTCAGGATTTTAAAATATATTAACAAAGTTGTGCAACCACCAATGTCTAATTCCAGGTGTTCATCAGCCCAGAGAGAAGCTCTGTGTTCGTTAGCAGTCCCTCCCCATTTCCTCCCTCCCAGCCCTGCTAATCTGCCAGTTCTGTGTCTCTAGATTTGTCAGTTCTGGACATTTCCTATAAATGAAATCATATACCCTGTAGACTTTTACGTGTGGCCCCTTTTACTTAGCATAGGTTCATCCATATGGTGGCAGATATCAGTACTTCATGTCCTTTTTATGGCCAAATAATGTTCCACTGTATGGATATACCACATTCTGTCTATCTGTCTATCAGTGGATGGGCCACATACATTTTATATAAATAATTTTCATGACTTTTCCACTCACATTAGGATTTCTGTCTCAGGTTTGGGCCAGGGAGGGCAAACGCGGACCTGAGTGTAGGGACCACACAGCCAGACTGCTGCTTCTGTGTGTTGCAGTCTCATGCTTGCGTGCTACGCGGGGCACCTCGATGTGGTGAAGTATCTCCGAAGACATGGCGCTTCCTGGGACACCAGAGACCTTGGTGGCTGCACAGCCCTGCACTGGGCTGTGGACGGGGGCCACTGCGGTGTGATTGAGTGGATGATCCAGGACGGCTGTGAGGTATGGGTCTCCCTTCTTAACCACACACTCCTAGTTAAGAACCTAACTGCTGGTCCATGGGTTTCAGGAGAAGCAGGGCCTTTTGTGGACGCCTTGGACTAGCTGAGCCTAGAAATGCTGGAGGAAGTCCTCTAACTTACAGGCAAGATGGTCCTTGAAGCCTTGGGAAAAAAGACCCTTGTGGAATTGTTATGATAGAGAGGCTTCAGGTGATCAAGGACGTTCATCTTGTGTAGGAAAAGGGAGCAACGCTGCGTCCAGAGCTGGACCTGGTGCTGCTTCCACCTTGCTTGTTCCTTCGCTCATCCCTCAGTGATCTCTCCTTTCAACCTGCCAGCAGGGCTCGATGGAGCTTCCACCTGCCCCGATACCGTCTTTTTCTTTCTCTCTTAATTAAATTTTATTTTTTGGCTTTTTTAAAAAATTGAAGTACAGTCAGTTACAATGTGTCAATTTCTGATGTACAGCGCAACGTCCCAGTCATGTATATACATACATGTATTTGTTTTCATATTCTTTTTTTAAAATAAGTATTTATTTTTTCCTTTTTCTTGTTAGTTTTTTTTGTAAGGGGGTTGGAGATAATTAAGTTTTATTTATTTATTTGATAGAGGTACTGGGAACTGAACCCAAGGCCTCTTGCATGCTAAGCATGTGCTCTACCATCTGAGCTAAACCCCCCACCCCACAATTTTCATATTCTTGATACTGTCTTAGGTGCTGGACACACAAGGATGTTAACTTATAGCCACAGTGCTGCTTATTGCTTTTGGAATTAGATTCTTTTTATTCTTGGTTTGCTTTAAAGATTAGTCATTACACAGAACTTCCAAAGAGCAAACAGACTATATCAAGAATAGAGAATTTCAGCTCTAGTGTCTTTAGCTTGAAGCAGGTGTGTTGGTCTGGTTTTGGTTCATGTCATTAGAAAGTACAAATTCGACTTAGAAGTAGCATTGTTTGGACTTCTAGAGATATTTGAAGATAGGCAAATAGAATTAGCTCAATAATGGTAATTGCTGATAACTTGGAAAAAAAAGTTCAAGACTTCAAAGAAGTTAAATAAAAATTTCAAGGCATGGAAATAAGGAGCAACGAACAAAATGCTGTCCTAACGGTGACTGCCAGATGGTGTAGAGTGTGGAGAAGTTAAATTGATGACCTGGAAAATAAACTCACATGGAGAAGAGTTATGACTCCTGGAAGATGTTTGTAGATTTGTGCTGGTTTGTCTCTGAAGTGTGACTGAGGGAAAGCAAGACTTAAGTCGTGGGATCTCACTGGTTCCTAATGTTGCTTTTAGAGGGCTGAAAAGAGGGCTCCTTGAAGGAAAAACCTCAGTTGTTAAGGTAATTCCCTTTTGTTACATTTCTTGTTTTCTTTGTTTTAGAAACAAGCACAAAAGGTCAGAGGGATTAGCCCGTGCGCCCTGGTGGTCGGGGCTGGCCTCACCTGCCTTGTGCGGTTGTCACAGCCACATCCCCCTTGTTTGCTTTATGGCAAATTCTGCTCATGCATTGGACCCAGTGAAAATCTGGAGTTGAAAATGAAGGTTGACTTTGCTGAAAGAAGGGCAAGTCTCTGCCATCAACATTTAAGTACCAGATTTTTGGAAGTGTAGGCTCTCTGGGCTTCAGTTACAAACGCATCCATTTGGGGTAAATCCCATCCTTTTCTATAGCCCTGGAGATACGTGACTGTCCACCAGGATTTCTGCGTGGCTGGCAGGTGGTGGGTAGATGATGTCAGCGTGAGTCCCTCTCTGTTCTTGGCAGGCGGTTGACCCGATGCTTTGGGAGATGGTGAGACGGATCTGGGAGCAAAGTGGGGACACTGCCACCTTCTTCTTGAATCTAAGGATCTACACTGGACTGACTTGCTTGAATGGGGAGCCATTTCTACATTTAATGAGCCACGTGACCTCCGGGGAGACATCACGTCCTCTGAGATTTGGCTTCATCATCTGTAAACCAGGAATAAAAAACACCTACCGGTGTTTAACCTTTAGGACCAAAAGAGGAAACGTGCGTGGAAGTGCATTGAAAACCGCATAGAGCACCCTGTAATATGAGGGGATTATTTTATTATTATTTAAATATAATGAAGCTCGCTGCCCAAAGGTTGTTTGTTATTTGCATGAGGAAGAGCTGCAAATCTTAACAGTGTGGCAGTGGATAATCTCATACATACAAATAACCGGAAATGTCCTAAGGACCTACTGGCAGTTTCTTGTTATTCTGGTCCAATGTTTTACTAAAGCTATAGATTTCTTTGAGTGATTCTTCTGTAAGAGAATTAGATGTGTGCGTGCACAAGTCCGTCTGCACACACGTGTCTCTGTTGACTTCAGTACCACTCTTCCTGGACTGATGAGGTCTTTGTTGCAATTGAAGGAGGCAACACTTACACTCTCTTATTCTAAAATACGTCTTTTAAAGCACTAAATTGAAGGATCTTAACGTAGGGCAGATGATTGGGAAATGGCCCATCTTATTATCAGGCAAACTATGTTTTGGAGAAGGACTTAGGTTGGCTAAGTTTTCAGATTAGATTTCGTGTAAGAGATCTTTGTATTTAACCTGCCTGTAGTTCTCCTGCTTAAAATGAGTACGTGTTGGTAAATATAAGGGTGGGTGCTTACATTACCATCTTGTTCCAGAAGGGATTTAAAGCTGCTTACAGAGATGCCTAAAAGTAAGCAGCAGAAACTCTATTTTAAAAAGCGCTCAGGAAAGTTACGCGTGAGAAAATAAGGCAGGGGCTCACACGGAGCCAAGAGGAAGGTGATGATGTTTCATTTTTCCATCCCATCTCTTTTCCATTTGAACAAAATGTAAATGAAGATGCCAGTGGGTGGGAAGGGGGGCTCTTGGGGCCTCTCAGCACCCTCTGAAGTGACCCAAAAAGCAGCTTCTCACTGCATAAATGTGAATTAAATCAGCATAGTCCAACCAACCGTCACCAGGTCTAGAGAGACGATCTACATCGGGGGGAATTTGGGCAAGCAGACATTCCTCTATAGGTTTCCGATGAGTGACTTTATGGAAAAGAACTGGGCTAAGAGCTGCTCTCCCTGTGGCACGACAGGTGGACGTGGTGGATGCCGGCTCAGGGTGGACCCCGCTCATGAGGGTCTCCGCGGTCTCGGGGAACCAGAAGGTCGCCTCTCTGCTGATCGATGCAGGAGCAGACGTGAACGTGAAAGATAAAGACGGAAAGACACCTCTAATGGTATGTCTCTCTTCACAAGACAGTCTGGCTTCACATGTGGGACTAAGGTCAGAGCTTCTGCAACTAGGCAGTTCTTGTAAGCTCAGCCACATATGACCACCCCTGAATGATGGTTGTGTGTGTCTTCCATATTGGCTGCTTAATTAAGGCCTGGCAGTGTCACCATAGCATTTTTTTCATCCTTGTATTTTTTTTTTCAATCGAAATATAGTCAGTTGCAATGTGTCAATTTCAGGTGTACAGCACAATGTCCCAGTCATGCATCTACATACATATATTCATTTTCATATTATTTTTCATTAAAGATTATTATAAGATATTGAATATAGTTCCCTGTGCTATACAGAAGAAAGTTGTTTTTTAAAATCTATTTTTATATATAGTGGCTAACATTTGCAAATCTCAGCCTCCCAAATTTATCCCTTCCCACCCTCACCCTTTTTCCCTGGTAACCATAAGAACGTTTACTATGTCTGCAAGTCTATTTCTGTTTTGTAGATGAGTTCATAGTGTCCTGTTTCCCCCTTTTTTAGATTCCGCATATAAGTGGTATCATACAGTATTTTTCTTTCTCTTTCTGTCTTACTTCACTTAGAATGATGATCTCTAGGTCCATCTATGTTGTTGCAAATGGCATTATTTTATTCTTTTTTATGGCTGCATAGTATTCCATTGCCATGCCACAGCTTCTTTATCCAGTTATCTGTTGGTGGACGTTTAGGTTGCTTCCATGTCTTGGCTATTGTATATAGTGCTGCTATGAACATTGGGGTGCATTTGAGTTCCTTCAGATTCATACCCAGGGGTGGGACTGCTGCATCATATGATAAGTCTGTTTTTAGTTTTTTGAGGAATCTCCATACTGTTTTCCATAATGGCTGCACCAAACTACATTCCCACCAGTAGTGCAGGATGGTTCCCTTTTCTCCACACCCTCTCCAGCATTTGTCATTTGTGGACTTTTGAATGATGGCCATTCTGACTGGTGTGAGGTGATACCTCATTATAGTTTTGACTTACATTTCTCTGATAATTAGTGAAATTGAGCATTTTTTCATGTGCTTATTGGCCATTTGTATGTCTTCATTGGAGAACTGGTTGCCCATTTTTGGATTGGGTTTTTTTTGTTGTTGTCATTGTTATTAAGTTGTATGAGCTGTTTATATATTCTGGAAATTAAACCTTTGTTAGTTGCATCATTTGCAAATATTTTCTCCCATTCCATAGGTTGTCATTTTGTTTTGCTTATAGTTTCCTTTGCTGTGCAAAAGCTTGTAAGTTTAATTAGGTCCCGTTTATTAACTTTTGCTTTTAATTCTCTTGCCTGGGTAGACTGCCCTAGAACATAGCTAAGATTTATGTCAGAGAATATTTTGCCTATGTTTTCTTCTAGGAGGTTTATTGTGTCTTTTCTTATATTTAAGTCTGTCAGCCATTTTGAGTTTATTTTTGTGTATGGTGTGAGGGAATGTTCTGACTTCATTAATTTACATGCTGCTATCCAGTTTTCCTAACACCACTTGCTGAAGAGACTATCTTTTCTCCATTGTATATTCTTGCCTCCTTTGTTGAAGATTAATTGACCGTAGGTCTGTGGGTTTATTTCTGGGCTCTCTATTCTATTCTATTCTATTGATCTATATGTCTGTTTTTATGCCAATGCCATGCTGTTTTGATTACTGTAGCTCTGTAGTATTCCTGTAGCATTTTTGTTGTCTTTTTACAACTATTTCTTTAAGGATTATCAACTTCAGTCCCCGGGGCCATTTTAGGATCAAAACAGATCTGTTAAAACAAAGAACATGCTGCCTTCTGCGCTGGTCTGGCCCAGCCCCGTCAAGCGATTTTACAGTGGAGAAAGGTGGATTTCATTCCCTTTTCCTTGCCACAGCTGGGGAGTGAGGTACACATCCCTGTGTGCAGAGCCACTGCAGCCCTGCTGGCTCTCTGCCTTCAGAGGATGCTGCCTGGAGTCACCAGACCTGCCTGCACCAGGCACCCCATTCCTGCAGCCCATGCCCAATGCAGGGAGGGCGGAGCCCACTCACACCCCACTGGTGTTTGATTTTCTAGGTGGCCGTGCTAAACAATCATGAAGAGCTAGTCCAGTTACTTCTCGACAGAGGGGCAGATGCAAGTGTTAAAAATGAGGTACAGAACTCAGTCTTCATCTAAAGATTTTCCCTGGAGAGGAGGAAAGACCACATGTATAAAAGCATTTTTGTTGTTTTCTCTTCCAGTTCGGCAAAGGTGTCCTAGAAATGGCCAGAGTTTTTGACAGACAGGTTGGGAATGTTCTTTATCCCTTTAAGGCTAATCTTGTAGCGCTTTAGAAAAAATTTAAAGAAACCCCAAAACTGTGGATTACATGCACCTGTTTTTGTTTATCCAGAATGTCATCTTCTTATTAGAAGAAAGGAAAAAAAAGCAAATGCCGAAGAAGTCATCTGTTTGCTGACCTGGGGGCCTCTTATCTCTGAAAGCCAAGTGAAGCAAAGCAGAACGGGACTTGAACTAGAGAGAGGGCGATACATTTGATTATTTATTTAGCTGAAGATGCACAGTGACTTTTGTGACATACACGTGTCCCCACTTTGAAATACATCTCTTTACCTAAGCTTGTGCAGTGGTGTCGTCACTGGGCGTCCGCAGGCAGGGAGGTTTTCCTGCGCTCGGCCTTTTGGAGTGAGCCATGAAGCAAAATATTTATGTCCTGGAGCTGCACAAACATACACGGTCCCCCACTTCCCACTCCTGCCCTCCAAGCCATCCTCTGAGCCACTCCAGGGCCCGGTGGAAATTCCTTCCCCCATGTGTTTTCAATTACATCCCTCCCTCCGGACTCGAGGCTTTCCAGGCCGTGTTGTCAGGGTGATTCCCTCCTGGAGGGACACTCCTCCCGCAAGCCCAGGAGGCCACGTGAAGAGCTTTCTCCTGGCTGTTGGCCTCACATCAAAGCGCAAGAGACGCATTTCAAGACTCCGATTCCGCTCTGTTGGAGGAGCCTGGTGGAGGGTCAGTCATCGTGGAACGGACCTGTACCTGAGGCTGCGTGCGTGTGCACTTAGGCCTCGGCAATGAAAGACGCGGCCTGCTGGCCGGCCGACGACTTTGCCAGAGAGGAGTGCCTCGCATTCAGTCCTCAGAGCAGGAGGGGTTTGGATGCCCAGCACGCAGTTCAGAGACAAGCGGGAAGGAGCAGGTCGGCCGGGCGGGAGCTCAGACGCAGACGTGCGGGAGCCGTGACTCCGCAGGCGCACTTAAAGGCCCGCGGGGCGGTGAGCCAGCCGGCCCGTGCACGTCGTGTCTCCAGAGACACGCCCTCCGCCCCGCGAGAAGACCAGCCGCAGTGGTCTGCCCGGGACTGGCATTCTCTCTGCAGGTGATTAAAAGGTAACCAAAGCCCTGGCAGGGGGAAAACACCGCCCATTTCACTGACGTTGGCAGGTCTCAGCTTTATTCCAGTCTACAGAAGATCCACGTCGGGCACTGCGTCTGGGGGTCACGTGCAGTCTTCTCCTTAGATCTTTCACTAGCATTTTACCTTTTATACAAATACTTACTCCTTTCAGTTTGCTGGAATAGATTTTTAAAAATCTCTCTAACAGCCAGAGCACAGTCACAACTTCGCAGGGCTCCTCCTTCCCGCCATGGTCAATGTTGACGCTCCCCTCGATTCCGTGTCTCGGCCAGTTGTAGGTAACACCCCAGCCTCCGCTATGGGAGGGGGGCACGTCCCTTCTTGCGGACAGCAAGCTGGGCCGTGTAACGGCGCTGACTCTGGTCAATGAAATGGGAGTGGAAATAGCTCTTGTCCCTCTGCACAGAAGTTCTGTGAATCCCCATGTCCCCCTTCCTTCTGCCACAAGACCAGCTGTTTCTTGGACGGAGGTGCTCTGCCACCCCAGGGCCCCGAGGCGAGAGCCAGAGCTCACCCGGGGTGGACGTGACATGTGAGTGAGGGAGGGTCCTGCCATGTAGTCAGTCACTGAAATTTACGAGTGGCTTGTCATCACAGCGTAACTTAGCCCAAAACGACTGCTTGTGAGGTCTTAGCATAGATCTGTGAAGTTAATTTTCCACTGAAGCATCTCAAATGTCTTTTTAGCATCTCTGATAATCATCATATGGCATATTTCCCTACAAGCTATCAATTTGTTAACTTGGATTACTAGCTTTTAAAATATTGAGCCAACCTTCTACTCCTGAGGTACCCTTACTGGGTTACACTGGGATGCTGGATTCTTTATCCTCATGTACTCTGTATGTTTGCTTTTTAATCTTTTTCCTTAATAAGATTAGGTAGTGGCTTATCTTGTGTCTTTAATTATCCCAAAGAACCCACCCTTGGTTTTCTTAATTTCATTTCTGCCAATTAATTCATACTTTTTATTTCTGAATGGGAATTCCCTTTGAATTGGAGTCTCCAGGGAAAGGGCATGCGCAGTGGATTGTAACAAGCATCCAGGTGCGTTCTGATAACGCAGAGTGTCAGGAGCATGGCCACAGTGTGCCGTCCCCAGTGGTTCCATTTGCTGTCTGCCAGATAATCTGCTGTTGATCTTTGACTCAAGAATCATTGCATTTCTAGGCCAAAGATTGTTTTCCTACTTTTAGTGCATTATAGTGGGAATTTGTACCATTAGGATTTGAGTTTTACTTTGTGCTTTAATATACACAACTATAAATTTTTTTCCAGAGGCACTTTGAAAGAAGTATATTCAGTATGTTTAAGTATTCCATTTGAGAGGTGTGTGTGTGTGTGTGTGTGTGTGTGTGTGTGTGTGTGTGTGTGTATAAAGTTGATCATTATTAACCATGTCTGAGCTCTTCTATGTACTTATTTTTTGCTTACTTGCTTTGTCATGGGGAGAGGGTGGTAGGAACAAAGATCATTTGGTTACCATTCTGTAAATTTATTTTTCTTTGTCTTTTCTGTTCTTTAGGAAATTGGATGCCATTAAATACTCTTGCCATAGATTTCCATTACGTTTAGACTGTTATTCTGGATATGTCTGGTGTCAATGGTTTTATTCCTGCTTGCTTTTTAAATCTATCTCTTCTATAAATAAGGTGAGTTTTTAAAACTTTGATAGGTTTTATGTCACATTGTTAAAAAGAAATATGTATTAAGTCCCCTCCCCAACAGTGTGCATGTGAGAAGGCATCTCCCCTCCTCACCCCACCATCCGACTGGCTCGTGGGGGTCGCAGCCTGCATCTCCTGACTCATCAGCTCACCCTTCTTCCTGGATTCTTATGTGCTGTTCCAAAATTTCCTTATGCATCTATACATGAGTGAGACTACAGATAGATACGTTTATCCACACGAGAGTTCCCCCTCCCCCTTTTTGTAACATTCTCAGGAATGAATGAGACATTTCTTGATATTTACCTGGATACCATTTATTGGCTATAATATCTGTAACAATGACTTTTCCTATGACAATAGCAGGTTGTGTTACCTGTGGACTCCCAACAGGAGAAACTTGTACAAAAGTAACAGACTGTAACATAAGAAGGTATGAGAGGAAACCTTAGCAAACCAAAGCGTTATACATGGACGAAGCACTATAAAAACAATGTACTGGTTTAGTAGCTGTGACTTTGTACTGTGCTGGATAGGCTGCAGCCAAGTTTTAAAGAGTGATACTTTCTGTGCCACACACTCCAACCGCGGACCCTCCTACGACCTCCCAATCTGACCTGACGGAGGGGCAGGAGGGAAACGAGCTTTGCAACTAACACTGGTCCTGCCCTGCACTCAGAGGAGTTTCTCTTTCTAGTTGGATGTATTTTTTTCTATCACTATCCTACTTAAGTACTTGCTTATAGGCCATGAACAGAGACATCATTTGTCGTCTTCATAAAACTCAAACCATCACGTGATACTTACTCTTTTGTCTGGATTTAAAATGTGCTACGTTGAGGACTAAAAAGTTATCTTATGGAAGGAGAATCACAGAGCGAACACAAGACACGTGTTCTGAAGATGATGTGGAAAATCAGGGTTGGTTACAGAGGATTGGAACCTGGAAGGGCCGAATCCCGCCGGGAATTCCTTTAGCTGTGTGTGAAATCTGGCCACCAGGACCCATTACTGAACATTTTAACAATTTTGTATGTGGTGTTTCTTCTTGTTTTTCTCATATGAAACAGGCTTTCAATGGCTGGACTACAAGCTGCCACGAATGTCTCAAAAGTAAAGAGGGGGTTTTCTTTATGAAAGGCCGGGAAAGTCCGTTCACGCGCAGGTAAACGGCTTCGGGAAGCCTCACTGCACAGAAATGATTCTCAGCCTGGGGCGCGTGAACCTGGCTGAGCGTTTGTTACTGGTATCACTATCTGGGTTTCCAAATAGGTTTAAAAGAAACCGCTGTCTGTAGGACTGGAGAGTGCGTCGAGAGACTTTTCGAATCATAGGTAACCTGATTGCCTGTGGCCACCCCCTTCTAATTAGAATAATTAGAAGTATTAATTATTAGTTAATAATTAGACTAAGTCTTTAGGTGGGAAGTGCTTGCAGAAGGGATTTTTCTGGACTCCAGGCTGGTGGGGGAGTGGGTGGGGTCGCTCTGTGCTGCAGCTCTGGAGAAGGGCTTTGGGTGTCCCGGGGGTGGGCCTGGGGAGGGGGGCAGCTGCACCTGCAGCCGTCAGCACTGGGGGATGAGGAGACGCCGGAGAGGCACAGAGGTGCAGTGGCCCAGGCTGCCTGGGTCCAGATGTGTTTGCGGCCTCATTGTGAGCCGTGGGGAGTCGCGGTGCAGCCTCGGGCTGGCCCTGTGCAAGTGGCGGGGAGAAAGGACGCCCCTGCCACGTGCCCCACCGGCCGGCCCCAGCCCGGGGGTCACGTCTGGGGGTCAGTCCCGGCCCTGGGAGACCCCTGGGTGGAATGTTTCTCCCGGTTACTCGTGTGGGGCTGGGGTCATTTTGACAGCCTTGAGGACGGGGCCCCAGGCTGAGCCTGCCCCAGGCTTCCCGCTCCCCAAACACCCAGGGGCGCTCTTGGGAGCGAAAGTGGTAAGTGATGTAAGCTTCCCGGACGAGGAAAGCCGGCGAAGGGGGCAGGCGGCTGCCAGGTGCCCGGCCCTCCTGGTTGGTTTTCGGGGTCTCAGTGGCTCAGATGCTTAGTAAACAGCAGTGGAGAGATGGCGGGGAGACGCTCGAGCTGGCCCGGCACAGGCTCTTTTTTAGCACCACCAGGGATGACAGGCTCCTGAGAACAGTCTGACACAGAGCAGAGTTCTTCCTGATTTTCTTTGCGGGGCTACCCTGATGTGTTGCATTGATTTGCCAGAGAACAATGGCCTCTGGTTTCAGCCTGAGAATTCCTAATAAAGTTAAGAAGGCATAAAGATGTCCCCTTTGAGACTAGTCAGGGGTATTTATTCTCATGTAGTTTAATTCGTTGCTGTTGTGGTTTCTGTGATGTCATCCCACATGTGTAGGCTGGAAAAACTCACACTGGGACGCAGAGTCTCCGAGTGCACATTCTGACAATGGAAAATGTTATGCATTGTTCCTCTTGGTTGCTACCCATCCGATCCCACGTGTCGGGAAAACAAACTGACACAAAACTTCGGGAGATAAACTTCTCAATAAAGTGGGGTCATGTAACCTACAGCTCCCACAAGACGGAGGCACAGAAGGGGTACCACCCTCAGAGCCCACTCTGAGCGAGGGAGGCCCTTCTCACCCCACCTCAACTCTGTTATTCAGCCTATACGATTTTTAAAAATATGAAAAATAGACTGCCATTGAAATACAACTATTGAGTTTTGTTTCCATCATCTCTGAGGATATTAAAAGGGGGAGGACTACCCCCCTCCCCCAACAACCTGGCTATTGGTTCCCTTCCTAAGTTATCTTACAGTGAAAGTTACGGCTAAATACGCTTCACTTGCTAAATTCTGCACTTGGAAGTATTGCCCCTTTAATAATATTATCTGGGTATTGCAAGGAGATACTAGTTTGAAATATGTTCTTGTCCAGAAATAAATTGCATGGCTCTATAAAAGCAATTAGCACTCTAGAGAGAAGAATGTGTCATCTGCCGTGGCCCCTCAGTGGCCAGCTGATGACATGGTGTAAGATCACAGTGTTAACCTCCTTTAATATCAAACTATTCCTGGTTCTCTGAAATGGAAACACAGGAATTGTAGTTAAGGACAGACAAAAAAAAAAAAGTTCACATCCTCTTACTTGCACTGGGAGAAGGGACTAAAACGCCAGATCTAAGGCTTGGGTATCCACAAAGGTAACACCCACATGATGCACCATAAAAATTCTGTAAACTTTTCAAGCTGTTTTGGCCTTAATACCATTACCAAAATTATCCCAGTTACAGTAATTCTGTACATGCTCATCAGCAGTAACATTTCCTAACATGGCTTTGTCGTTTTAAGAGATTGATCACTGTGTAATGAACAGCTGCGTGCTGTAAGAGCTGGAATGTTTCAGAGCTGGGTTCCCTTTCCTGTGTGTTTGTGACATGGCTTTACTTAGTTTCTCCGCAGCCATGAATGCTGTGTTACCTAGAGACGGAACACGGGGAGAGTTAGATGCACTCCTGCTTTCTGGAAGGCAAACCAAGGTTCTCGGTACGTTTTGTCTTTCTGCTTCAAGGCATAGAAAAGCCATTGAAATGACCCCAGATGAAGACTCTATCATAAAACAGAGTGAATTATGGAACTGCTGTCAGTTGCCTTCTAATGTGAAAACTAGTCACGTCTGGCCCCACTAGAAGACAGAGGCACAAAGGCATTTTACCTCGTCTGAGTAGTTTTGTAAATCTCACACCATTAGGTCCAGGCATCGCCACGATCTCCTTGTGAAAACGGCTCCCCAGTCAGGCATTTGAAGAGGGAAAGCTGAAGGGGCTGCATTTCATGAATATGTAGGATGAGGAATTGGATTTCCTCATCACAATCTATGATATTCGAGTAACAGGTAGGCTGTCAGTACTTAAAAAATAGATTCAAACTTTCTGCTAAAAACATCTTTTAAAGGTTCCTGCAGCCCAGCTGGCAAAATAGGATGGCCCAAAGAGAACTCACTAGTAACTTAATGGTTCTTCATCCCACCTGTGCTGGCAAGGAGAGCAGGCATAACCTACCCCAAGGAACACAGCATTGCTTTTGGTTGTAGTTTCTGCAAGCATAGGGATTCTGCCGAATTTTGAATAGGCTGAGCCTTGCAATAGAAGGAGATTTTTATCTATGGATTTGATTCACTAGATCTGGTTACTGGTTCACATCTGAAAGTAGTTATGGTCCCGTGGAAAGCCTCATCTGTCTGTCTGAACACAGAATCATTGTATTAGAGTCAAGAAGACAAAGTGGTAATTTGTTTAGCTCCAAACAGTCCAGGGAGATGGAGTCTGCAGCGCCTGGGCAGTAGCTTTCCTGTAGAAACAGCCCCTTTCCCGACTGAAATGAGGTGCTGATGCCAGCGCTCTGCAGAGGGTAGCCAGAAAAAGGCGTTCTTGGTGTTTCTGTAGAGCAGACTTTGCTGCCTGCTCTCCCAAAGTGCTCTCGGCTTGTGAGCTCAAGGTCAAGTTTCTACCTGGCCTCATGTTTGGTCTCTGTCTGTGCTGGTGTGGCCACACCTCAAAATTCCTTTCTGCAACCCAGGTTCTCTCCAAAACTTCCTGGCCAGAAGCCTCCTTCCCGGCTCTCCTGGAGCTTCAAGGGGGTAGGCATGGTGGGCCAGCCCGTCTGCTGTGACAGGGCCCAGGTTATCCCTGAAAGCCAGGCACAGCCGGGACCAGGAGCCAGGCTGTGACCTGGGATCAGGGGTTCCAGGAAATCACTCAAGGTTCTACCTGGGGTCTCTTGAGCTGTGTCGGGCACCATCACCACAGCCATGGGTCGCTGGGGATCTGGTCTCCAGTAAAGCCTCCATCAAAAAGTAAACATCCTGTCTGGAATCCCATAAAGCACGATATTTCAAGTTCACTAAACTATTAAAAGCACAACAAGCCTTCCTTCCATGGAAAACTCAGTGATGGTAAAAACGCCCCGTCCAGCGCACCGCGCTGCAACGAGCATTCTGCATAAATTAATAATTTACAGTACCTGAGGAAGTACAGAGCACCTTAGCACAGCACAGCACCGACGGCAGTAGCTCAGAGTTCTTCAGATCGTGGTGTTTGAAACATTAAAAAACATTCTAAAAGTTGGTACAAAAAAGAACTCCAACTGGAGCTGAAGGGTAGTGCAAACTTGTCTTCACTGTTGAGAAAAGGTGTCGGCTTGCTTCTCACTCAGCATAGGCGATGTGGGGGCGGTCTGGGCACTTGAGGCGGCTGCTTGGGAGCCGGTCTGCCTCGAGAGGGGAGAAGAAAAAGCCGCAGTGAGAGGCCCTGAGAGCCACTTCTGCAGATACAGACGCCCGGGTGGGCGATGACTTCTCCTGCACTAGGATGTGTTTCCAGGATCAGACCCCACCCCCATGCTGGGGGCTGGACACTGTTGTTTTTGGCAGGGGTTGCAGATCACGAAAGGGACCTCACTGGGGGGCTGCTGGGTCTTCAGTGGTTTATGACCCTCCCGTCCATCTGCAAGGTGACTCCAGGGGAGGGCCACTCAGCAGAAAAATAGTGCAGGCCGCAACGGTGAGCCTCCTGTGTAACTTCAAATTTCCCAGTAGGCTCACGAAGAGTAAAAAGAGATAAAGCTAACTTCAGTCAGAGATTTCACTTAACCCAGTATGTCCAGAGTAGTAGAATTTCAATATGTAATCAACATAGAAAATTATTAATGGGGTGACCGACATTTCGGGGGGACTGACTCTTCAACATCCAGTGTGTATTCTCACTGCCAGCAATCTCTCTGTTTTTTTTTTTTTTTTTTTTTACCAGCCGCGATGTGCCCAGCAGTATTACTGTGGTTCCAGAGGACGGAGCAAAGCTGGGCCTGTGAGGTCCCTCAAAGAGGAACGTACAGGGCATCCTCTTTCCAGGACGAGACCCAAACCGGCTGCACTGGTGTCAGCATCTGGCAGCGGTGAGACAGGCCACTGCCTGAGGTCATTTAAAAAGAGGGTCCTGCCCGCTTCCCGTCCATGTAAAGCGGTGCTTTCCCTTTAGAACAAGAGAAGGGACTTCAAGATCAGCCTACAAACCACAGTGAAATAACCAGGCTGCCCGGCAGCTTTCCTCTCTTTGTGGAGCCGGGAGTTAAACCATCGTCCTGACCCCTTGACCGGCTTTATCTCTGAGATGTATTAGGCAGCTGTCTCTTTTGCAGGCCAAACATTTTTCCCAAGAGCTGTAATGAAATCACTAACGTGGGCCTTACCGCTCCGAGGTACTGAGTTATTGAATGCAGGGCCTGGCCGACACCCTACCTTTGGTTCTTTTGAGCTCATAAAGCAAGCTGCCTGCCAAGGAGGGGGGCACGTGTGTCAGAAGTGTGTTTTGGCTGGGGATTTCACCCATCTGTGTGCTGGTGAAGGTTTAACTGCCCCCCGCAGTGGGAGGCGGTGGCCTGATCCGTAGCGCTTGCGGGCTTCCCTGCACGAGCACTCATGCTACCTGTGCCACGTGACTGAGCACGGACGAGACGTACGCGAGCCACCGGGGCACGGTACGTCCATCACATGGAAATGACAGATGTGGGTAACCTCAAGAACGTGGATTACAAATAAGATAAAAAGAAAATGGAAGTGAGGAGTTTGGGGCATTTGTTCCTTTTGTTTTTAATCTAAGAGCTATCGTTTCTGTTTATATAATCTTATTCTTCAGAACGGCTAGGGTTACCACCTACCTTGCAAAATTCCTGTAAATTTCATAGCCCTTGCAAACCGGTGTGACTGGCTCCAGCCCACCGCTGGGGTCACCTCCCGGCACAAGCCAGGATCCAGGGCTGTGCCTGCCTAGTCCCCTGGGGGAGGGCATCAGAGGACCACAGCTGCAGCCGAGTCATCAGAGAGACTCCCGCACGTTGGGTGGGGAAGCTCCCAGTCCCCCGGGCCCCCTCCTGCCTAGCAGCTGCCTGGGCCTGACTTCTTTCACGCCTTGTTTCAGCCATGACCCTCCAGCCCCACCTTGTCTCTCAGGCAGAGGCTATTAAGGCCTAAGTGAGATTTTTGGAGGTGGGTATCCAGCTGTCATCACATCCCCCCTTTTAGTGCCTTTACTTCTGTGCCTCTTTGTGGGATGCGGCCCGGCCCGTATCATCAGCCGCAGCTTTCCCAGGGATCTGTCCTACTCGATCTCGATTTGACCTCATAGGTACCGTGGAATCATTGCTAAGAGCCACCTGGGGTGCCTGTGCTTGTAAGCTCACGGCTGCCTCCTGCTTATTTTCAGATCTACCCTTGCATCTGTTCTGTATTGTTCACAGGTGCAGGGAGTGCATAACCCCCCACCCCCGCCACGGCCTCAGGTGCCTTGG